GGGGGGGAGGGGGGGGGGCTGCGAGAGAGAGAGAGCGGTGTCGGTGGATACCCTCGTTTTTGCAAACGACAGGAAATAAGTTTGGTTTAAATTTCAGGTATACTGCGCGAGGCGCGGCTGTGTCTGTGGTTTACGTTGACTGGATGGTTGACTAGAGTAGCGAGTGTGTGGGCATGCAGACCTAAGGCGCGCGTGATTTTCTTTCGTTTTTTTATGATTGTGGGAGCCGGCGTTGATCGCCGACCATGGTTTTTTTTCTGATTAAACTAGGATTGAAAAGATTCAGGTCTCGTTGATCAATATGCTTACCTGTGACTTGTGCATACGTACGGAGGACGACATCGACAAAACAACGTGATTTTAAAAACGTTCAGTAGGCTTGCACGTCGCGTAGTATCCGTTTATTTAAGCATCCATCAGAACTAAGCCTAGCCTAAAGGCCTAGCACTAGCAGTTATGGCATCGGACTTTTATCATCGGTGCTCTTAAACTCAGGCGCGACGTCGGATTTGGAGGTCGTCGAGGCGGTCGAAGACCTTGAGCACGCTCCTTCTCCTCGCTGACATGTGAGTTCTTTGAGTGTATGGGATGCTTGTGAGGGTCCTCAGTCCCATCATCTGGAAGCACGGACCGAGAAGTTCAATGTGCACGTGAACTGGCGGATGATTAGCCCACAAGTCGAAAGAAACTGGAGCCGTGGGGATCATCGCAGGTGCACCATTCGCCGACTATGATTCGTTTTGAGATATTTGAATATGAGAGCGCTCGTGGGACCCAACAAGCAGGGTTGTGCCTGGGCACAATGGGCATGAATGTTGTCAAAAGGGCCCACGACGGCAAGGGCTGCGAGGGCAGTGTGCATAGAATCCCTCTGTGCGATCAACACTTGACAGAACCTTCCTAAGACCATATTGTAGGTCTAGGAGTAAGCCCGTGTTTTTTCACCGATTGAGAAGTCGGAGTGGCCACAACAGCAGTACCGTCCGTTCGAACTGGAGATACTCACCTCCATACGGTCTTGCCGCAGGTACCAATCAACAACCTTTGTGGTGTTGTGATAGGTTGACACAGGGCCGAGACCTATGACACTTAGCAGGAGGGATGCAGTGCTACTGGCGAGGAAGTCGTATGTTGGGAGTTGGGTACAGGGCCAGACGGCTGGTAATACCGCGCGAGGAACTATGACTGAGCACATCTAAGCTGGAGTTTGCGTTTGCAGCGGCGGCATATGCCTCGTCGAGTGGTACAAACCTGTCAGACCGCCCTTGCGAAGTCTCCCTTAGAATAGTAAGTGGGCTAGGAAGCGGCACCCCCAAGTAGCTACGGGATCGAGAGTGGTGAAGGGAAGGTTGATATCGGCAAGAGTTAGGCAAGGAGAAAAGCGACGGGACCGGTTGAGCAGCGTTAGCAATACAATACAATATAGATAGTGGAGTGCTCGACAGCCCCGTTATATCACATAGTCGAGGTCCGACCGTGCAAAGGCAGACAATGGGCACAAAAAAGGCGAGTGCACCCGGATGCGATCTGCGACCGGATCTAGTCACAAGTTGAAACGGGGAAGAAGCGGAGATGGCAGAAAAGGGGAGAGGAGCTGACGGGGTGAAAAACGCATAGCGCATTCGAACCTCAATGGATTCGGGCGAGCTAAGAGCCGAATCCGAGTTTTTTTAGGAGTGCGAATCCATTGATAGGGTTAGTTTAAGTGATAGATTAGTAGATAGGAAGTTAGTAAGGAAGGATGTTGCGCAGAGGTAGCGAAGAGAAGGATATGGCAGGAAGGGAAAAACGGGCAAGTTTTATTTGCTTTGACCGATCTCGATAGAGTGAAGATACGATTGGGGGGTTCCAGGCTGTCGCGAGATGGATAGGAACACCAGTTTGGCTGGTGGTTCGTTGTATTGGGCAATCGGTTGACGACGGGCTAATGCATCTACCCGTATTCTAGCGGAAGGTTCACTCGATCCTTACTCTCCAAGGGAATATGTGCGACAGCAGGCGAAGCGAGCGTCACGAAGCGAGGGAGAGGGAATGCTTCATTGATAGGTGTCGCTGCTCAACTCGATTGCCTGTTGCTTCGCTGAGTTGCGATTTTGGGACCTGTTTAACACAGGTCGGCATGTCACGAACATAACAACATGAGTGCATGCGCAGAGAGAGAGTATAAACTTACCCTAAGAGTCGACGATGCGGGATGGGCTGAAAGTTGAGCTACGGGGCCAAACTAAAGTAAGGTTAAGATAGCAGTGTATATATCGCGTGATCTAACGAAAGGTTCATTCCAAGTCTGCTTATCCTCTCAACAGAGGTAGCGTACAGATAACTGTGGGGGAGATGACTTACCTGTTGTCGGATGCGCCGCCCATTAGGGCAAGGAGAATGAAAACGAGGTAGGAAGCCTGCATTCTTCCACTATCAGCAGTAGGGTTCAGTGCGACCCGGCTCATGATATCAGTGGAAACAATGAGAGAACGAGGCTTATTGGTGCACTGCCGATTCTCTGAACAGAGCGGTGAGGCATGTCGATCTACCTGTTCAATGGCCTACTCATGCTACTGGGCAAGGTAGTGTGAATCCGGCATGTGATCCGGAGCATCAACGGGAGGACGGTGTACTGTTTATCTGCCATTATGAAAATAGTGAGACACAAGGTCATGGGATAAGAAGTTTAGTCTGCAGGACGAAACAGCGAGGGGGGTCGGCGTGAGTTGGAGACTTACCTCTAGGCTTCAGTGTAGCCTGACGACTGAAGTGGCTAAGTACAGACTACAGGGAGAGAAGTATGCCTGACAGAGTATGCATGGGCGAAGAAGAGTGGAGGGCAGGCGTCCACAAAAGAATAACAAGAGGATGTTATGTAGTAAGGAGGGCTATTGCGAAAGGTTGTTGCTGCAATTTGCGTTGATATTTTGCAGAGCAATCTCAAGGGTGTGCGGTGCTTCGCTGTTGCGAACAGTATTGAGCAGCGAAGTGTCAACTCGGTTTTGTTGCTGCTGCAACAGGTTGTTGCACTTACTGCTGAGTCTGGTCACTATGCATTGATGCCATGTACTGCCGCTGCGTCTGACCGTGGCTAGCGATGTATACCGTTGATCGAGACACATAAGTATTTGGGTTTGGCACTACGATCTGTTGAAGATACAGTCTAGCCAACATACTACTCAGCCTGTTGTGAGGGCGCAACAAACAGCCGTGGAAACTACAAACTTACTTGTTAGTTGGTGCAATGCTCATTTTGTTGCATGGGATAGCCAGGTGAGGAGCTATGAGATTCTATATTTACCTATTAGCTGAGGCACTGTCACCCTGCCAAGTGAAGTAGTGGGAAGGCAAGGGAACAATCGTAGAGGGACTGAGGTATTGAAGGAGGTTTTTGTTGCGACACGGAGAGTCGTCAGGGGGTCAACAGTCGGTGGTTTACTTTAGCTTGACCGAACCGCTGTGTACATTGACCATCATTGTGGGGGCCTCAGGCGAGTGAAGGTATTAAGGCCCTCTCCTGGGAGTTGAGTTTGTCCCCCTCCTGTATCTCTAGAGTCTCAAACCCCTCATTCTGCCCTTCTTACTATAGGTCTAGTCCTGTTACGAGAGGAAGGCGGCAGATGGGATTCAAGTTGCAACCCGTAGGACCGCAACAAGACTCTGTGGGGAGTCAAGGAGGAAGGTTGTGTTGCTTGCTTGACTGGGTCTACCAAAGGCTGGGCAAGTCTCTATAAGTTTAAGGAGACCCAGTGCTATGTTTATTTTGAATTGCCTGGAGAACCAGGTATGTTCCATAAGTTTGAGTGGTCAGGTTGCTCTGACTTGTGAGAGTTGACTGTGACTGACTTTCAGGGACCAAGCATGCTCCATAAGTTAGGGTGATTTGGTCACCTTGTTTACTTTGGGTTTTTTGCCAGTTTCTTTAGTTTATGAACGAGGAGGTCTGAGCATGTTCTATAAGTTTGGGTGGCTCAGCCTCTTCCTACTTTGGTCTTAAGAGAAATGAATCAGGCTCAGGACCAAGACATGTTCCATAAGTTTGGGTGGTCTTGGTCCAACACCACGCACATGCTGGAACAAAAAAACTATAATTTGACTATATTTTATTACTATTTTATCTATGAACGGGCTAGTCAGACAGGGTTCCATAAATTTGGGTGGTCTGACTATAGCTTATCACCAACTGAAGAGAGTATTAATTAAGAGTAAACTTGTGGTAAGAAGGGGCAGACTGAATCTTAAGCTAAAGATGATCGGTTCAGTTATATGCTAC